ACAAGACAGTAGATATTTAGATGAAGGGTTTTCATTGGGGTTTAGGATCCCTTTTCAAGATGAAAGGGCCCCCTTCTGGGCGTCCAATTTGAAGTCTGTACAAGGGATGGAGAGTATAGTCCGGGGAAAAATCGGGAAGGAATGTAAGGCGGGGAGGGTGCTGGGACCTTTCCTCCCCCCCCCAGTGCCTAATTTGCGGGTGTCTCCTTTGGGCGTTGTACCAAAGAAGGCCGCCGGCGAGTACCGCCTCATTCATCATTTATCGTACCCTCGGGGCGGTTCAGTGAATGACGCGATACCAAATGAGCTCTGTTCAGTGAAATATATGTCCTTTGACTAGGCCATGAAGGTAGTGAGAGCTTGCGGCCGGGGCGCACTTTTAGCAAAGTGCGACATTAAATTGGCTTTCAGGCTGCTGCCAGTCCACCCGGCAGATTTTGACCTCTTAGGCTTCGCTTTTGAGGGATACTATTATATGGATAGGGCCCTTCCCATGGGCTGTTCGGTGTCTTGTGCGGCATTTGAGAGGTTCAGTTCCTTTTTAGAATGGGCCTTGCATTCTCGGACCTGGTTAAGCTCTATGGCTCACTATTTGGATGATTTTTTGTTTGTGGGACGTAGGGGGACTCGGCAGTGTGAATTTTTACTGGCCAGTTCCATGGAAATGGCGGCGGAGCTGGGAGTCCCCCTTGCTGAGGAAAAGACCGAAGGGCCAACACCCATTTTGACATATTTAGGTATCGAAATAGACACAGTTCAGCAATGCTCGAGGCTCCCGTTGGACTAGTTACAATGCCTTCAGGTCATGGTTGAGAAATTTATAGAACTTAAGAAAATAACACTTTATGAGCTGCAGCAGTTGGTGGGCCATCTCACTTTTGCATGCAAAGTGGTGGCCCCAGGTCGGGCGTTTGTTAGGCGACTCTGCGAGGCTATGCGGGGCCTGTGCCGCCCACATCACAGGACCAGGGTGACGGATGGGATGTGACAGGACATCTTGCTATGGAGGGAGTTTTTACGCTCATTTAATGGGGTATCATTCTGGAGAGAAGATTTACAGTTAGAGGCCAAGATGCAGGTCACATCAGATGCAGCAGGCTCCTCAGGTTTTGGGGTATACTTCAGGGGACATTGGTGTGCTGAGGACTGGCTGCAGGACTGGTTTCGGGCAGGCTGGGTCAAGGACCTAACCTTTTTGGAGTTTTTCTCGATTGTAGCAGCAGTGGGGCTTTGGACAGTGGATTTTGCTGATCATACGGTCCACTTCTGGTGCAACAATCAAGCCACAGTACACGTAATAAATTCATTATCGTCCAAATCAGCACGAGTCATGGCGTTAGGGCATTTACATTGCTATGTTTGAGGAATAATATTTTGTTTCGCGCTAGGCATGTTCCGGGTGTAACGGGGTCGCTGACGCTCTCTCTCGAAAACAGATGGGGAGGTTCCGTCAGCTGGCCCTGGAAGCGGACGAGTGCCCGGGGAGGATGCCTCCCAGTTTTTGTCAGATTGGAGGCTTGAAGCTGAACGTGCAATAGGTTTGGCCCTCACCCCTTCAACTCAGAAAGCATACAGGATGGCGGGTCAGCAATTTGTCACCTTTAGGCAAGAGGCGGGATTGCGGCATGTTTGGCCCATTCCAGTTTCCCAACTTATGCAGTTTTGTGTTTATTTGAAGCGGAAGGGCCTGTCAGTTCGCTCTATAAGGGGTAAGCTGGCTGCCCTTGCCTACGCAGCTAAAGCAGCGGGGCATGAGGACAGGTCAACCGATTTCCGAGTCAAAAAGATATTGTACGGGTGGTCCCATGAGGCAGGACAACCACAGGACCACAGGGAGCCATTGACTCCGGCAGTGTTGAAGGGGCTGCGGGCGTAGTGGTCCGGCCTTTGTGCTGATGAATATGAGGCGGCCTTATTTCACGCTGCGTCGTTAATAGCATTTTTTGGAGCTATGCATATTAGCGAGCTCGTCCTTGCTTCACGGAACGACAATTCAAACAGGGCTATACGTTTTACTGACATCAAGGTCCAAGAAGCTAGTTTGGCCATTAATATCTGGCGGTCAAAGACTGATCTAGGGGGTAAGGGGTCAGTAATAAAATTGGGCCGTTGCTCCAAAGCGGAGCTATGCCTGGTAGTGGCGTTATGCCATTACCTGAGTCTCAGGGGGTCTAGGAATGGTGCATTATTTCAGCACAAAATTTCAATTTTGGCCACTGACACAGAGAGCGCTCAGTCAGTTGGGTCTGGGCGGGTTCCGCTTCGGGACCCATTCATTTAGAATTGGAGCTGCTTCCACGGCTGCTGCCATGGGATATTCGGGGGAAGACATACAAGGCATTGGACGATGGAGAACCTGTAGGAGCGGAGGAGAGTCACTATCTGCGGCCACAGTATGATTTTTTGGGCCGCTCATCAGGCCAAGAGGACGACATTTGGTTCTCAGTTGGGGCTGAGTAAGTTGGCATTGGTTGAATGGTGGGGACGGAGGGGCATGAATTGGCCCAGGTTACTCCCCCTATTGTTTGAAAAACGGCGTGGGCCGCCTCCTGATATTTTACTGGTGCACCTGGGTGGCAATGATCTCGGCCTGATGGAAGGCAAGGCCCTGGTCATCCAGGCCACAGAAGACCTGAAACTGATACGGGCAAGATGGCCCAGGGTGCAAGTAATTTGGTCTGCAATTCTACCACAGCATGTATGGTGCAACGTGGGGGATCCCAGATGCATCGACCAGTCTTGTCGCAGGGTGAACAGACAGATCCAGAAGGTGATGGAGGGGGTTCTGGGTCACTATTTACCACACCCTGGGATAGTGGTCGGTAAGACGGACCTCTACAGGGAGGATGGTATTCACTTGTCAAACGAGGGCAACAAGTTATTTTTGGAGGACATTCGGCAAGGGATCCGGGTTGCCTTCGGTTGTTAGGTGGCCACGTCAGCCAAAGCAGAGGCTTGACTTCACGAGTGGCAGAAGAGTGCAGGTTTAAGGAAGCGGAAAAATGGTGAGCACCTTTAGCTGTTCCTTGTTTTGGGAACCGGGGGGTCTTCAGGAACGGCCTGTAGGCTATTAAGGCCCTGGGCTGTGAATGACGATTCCCTCTGAGAACCTCTTGGGTAAGCTCCTCTCTGCAAGCTGCATGGTTTCAGGGGTAGGCCCTCCTGAGAGGCTACCAGTGGCTAGGCTGCTGGTCGCAAGCCAGATTAATGGCTCAAGACCGGGGTTGGTGGCTCGCCCACATATTAGGCAAGGAGGCTGGTCAGCCTGACCCCTGCCTTGCCTGTTCCGCTACTTAGGAAATGCTCCCTTGCCGTTTTTTGTGTTTATAAACTGTATATAGTTAATAAAGTGGCCCTTGTTTGATCCAAACTGTTGTCCGTCTCGTTACTCCGACTGTGGGGGCAAATAAAACCCCTAACAGTTAAACAATTACAAAACAAAGACAGTACTGTCAGCAAGCTCTAAAGACCCAAAGCAGCCTATTCCTACAGCTTCCTAAATGCCATGCCAAATAGAGATTTTACATTTCTCTGAAGGTTTAGTGTTTTCTGAAAGGCCATTCTGTGACCTCAGGCATCAGTTACAAAGGCCACAGTGGCCCCTTGCCACATATGTTTTTTTCCTTCCTATAATGAAGGAACACAATGGCTCTGTTGGAAAGAGGTTCTTTTTTTGTGTGGTGGTGCTAAGACATAAAGGCTTTTAAAGGTCAAAAGCAGCTCCTTAAAGTGAACTTGGAAGTAAACTTGTAGGCAGTGCTGCTGCAAGGTTGGTTGAATATACTTCTGCTTCCCCACTCCTGCCGGGAATGAGTTAAATATAAAAGATGATGGTCAGAAAATATTTGTACAGAGATCTGAGATCTGGCCTGTGTTACAGCTAGTTAGCTTTTTCCTTCTTCTTTGATCCAGGTGCTCCCACCATTGTGTTCACTTATAGTTTTGCAGTACAAACTGTATGTATGCATGTGTGTGTGTGTGTGTGTGTGTGTGTGTATAAATGATGAAGTAAAAGAGTGCCTACACACGCGCATAGGTGGAAGTGTACCGTGCTTGTGTGTTAGGTTTGGGCATGGGAGCCCCAGACTCAAAGTCCTGCTGTACTATGATGTTTCCAGAGTAGGCTTTAGGCAAGTCATTATCCTTTGGCCTAGCTTGTACTGTTGTGATGTTGAGAAAATGAAATGTGTCTCTAACAAGCATTTAGGGTTTGAAAGACATTAAACAAATAATATCAGACCTCTGTAGAACTAAGCCTGCCATAAACTGTAAAAAGGGCCACTCATTCAAAAACAACAGTTTTAAATCTCAAGTTCCATCCAGCTGGAATTTTTTGGTATATGACGTTCATGATAGATAGACTTGTCATCCAATGGTGATTCAGACATGTTTCTTTCTGTATATGAATTTTTAATGGTGTCATGTTGACCAGCTAACCTTTAAGAAACATGAGACTCAAAAGAAGCAACGAAAGCATTGCAGAATAGCATGGCACCCGCTTTTGTCTTCCAGGGGACACTGTATCACCCTGAGAGTAAAATAAATGTTCCCATAATCTTCTAGGTGCTTAGAAATCAAAACTCATCTCAATAATGGCTTCTATACCTCATCATTAGATGATGACTAATGTGGTTTTCCTGGGAAAATTTGTTTAGAAATGACGCTAGATCATAATTGCATTTATAATCTGATCTTTTTTCTTTTGAAGATGAAAAAAACATAACCCCTCTGTCATTCTGTTTAGGTACAGACAAAATATCTGAATGTAAGGAGACACAACACTCCACATTTATCCTTCCTGTTATACATCTCAACATATTTTCCCTTAGCTGTTTAGTCTAGAAACACTGCAGAGGGGGGGGGGAACCCTGATTCCCTTCCCCAATAATATGCTGCATTGAAAAGGAAATACTGTACCTCACAGAGGCTGAGAGAGGAACTGAGTACACATTGGACTGTCTCCTTATTCGAGTAGGTGCCTGTCTGTATGCAATCATTACCTGGGTCCCTGCTGAGAGGATGGTCTCTGTCTGACTTCTGGTGATGAGCGTTTCATACTTTGCCCTGATCTCATTGAGGAGCTGGGACAGTTCCATGCTGCTCCCATCCTCCACCTTGGCTAACTGATCCTTATTGATAGGGCGAGAAGGCTGCTGCAGAGTGTTCCCAGCCTGCAGTAAGCCAGAGAGAGGAGGGTGAAGAGGGAGAGAAACACAGATTTTTTAAAGTGGCAGAGTTCTGTTTTTAAAGCTACATTGAATAATCCTTTACACAGCTCTGAAGTCGTCAGATTTTATCATGGAACCACTTTGCACGTGGCAGAGACACCTCCCTCGATTCTACTATGTTTGTAGCAAAAATGCATCCACTGAGAAAGCATCTAGTGATAATTTTAAAAATTAGATTAATCTCAGAGCTGAGATTTGCAATGCATCAGTAGTGTGACATGAGTGCCTTGGACCGCCTGGGCTAGCCCGATCTCTCCAGATCCTGGGAGCTAAGCAGGGTAGGCCCAGGTTAGTAGTTGGATGTGAGACCGCCAAGGAATTCCAGGGTAACTACACAGAGGCAGGCAATGGCAAAGTACCTCAGAACATTTCTTGCCTTGAAAACGCTTCAGGGTTGCTGTTAGTCGGCTGCAACCTGAAGCCACCACAAAGATATCTAGGGCAAATAGATGCTGCAGGTTCCTAGCTTGTGTGTGCATGGCCCAAAAGAAATGCACATTTTATTAAAGAAGCTGATCAGTTTCCATGGCAGGCAAAGAAATGTACAAAGCAATCCTACTTTGTTCATCTCAGGCAAACCTATGATATTGTATTTGTGATTGCTGATTGCTGATCCATCAAAGCATAGTAGAAGCAGCCTATGGCATGCTTTAGATTTTGTAAAGTGGGGAGGTACAAAGACTGAGGGAATGCCAGGCAAAACAAAGAGGTTTTCACCTGCTGGCAGAAGACAGCAATTGAAGGGGACAGGGAAGTCTCTCTGGGGAAAGCGTTCCAGGGTTTTGTTGCCATGACCGAGAAGGCCTGCTCCCAGGTTGCCACCCACCTAATAGAAGAAGAAGAAGAAGAAGAAGAAGAAGAAGAAGAAGAAGAAGAAGAAGAAGAAGAAGAAGATCTCTTGCCCAAGGTCATCCAGCAGCTGCAAGTGGAGGAGTGGGGAATCAAACCCAGTTCTCCCAGATTAGAGTCTGCGCTCCTAACCACTACACCAAACTGGGGACACCTGAAGCAGAGCCTTGAAAAATGACTGTGGTGGTGAAGTAAGTTCCTAATGGAGTAGACTGCCCTTCAAGTATGCTGGTCCAAACCATGTAGGGTTTTAAAGGTAAACGGTAGCACCTTGAATTGTGCCCAGAAACAGATTGGGAGCCAGAGCAGATGGGTCAAGACTGGAGTGATATGGTCCCTGTGACCCACTCCAGTCAACATATTGGCTGCAGTGTTCTGTCCCAGTTGAAGTTTCTGAACACTTTTCAAAGGCAACCCCATTGTAGGGTGTGTTGCAGTAATCTAATCTAGATATAACCAGAAGTAATCTAATCTAGATATAACCAGAAGTAATCTAATCTAGATATAACCTCTCTGCATATCACACCTAATCCAATCACACCTGCTATTTGCCTGCTAATGACATTTGGCATCTGAAATCACTCCAGTTTCCAATATATAGTACAGATGGACTCACATTCTAGCTGTATCTGAAGAAGTAAATGTTGTTAGATTTTAAGGTGCTAATGGACTCCTACTGTTTTCTAGATGTAACCAAAGTATGTACCACAGTGGCCATAACTTTTCTGACCAGGAAAGGCTACAATTGCTAAGATGTTCTTTTGGCCATAGCTGCCACTTGCTTATCCAGCAATAGGCCTGGGTTCAAGAGCACCCTCAAACTATGGACACCAGAATGGTTGGCGCATTAATTCCCAGGTCAGACTTTCTGTTCATCAGTAGCACTTCCGTCCTGTCAGGATTAAGCTTCAGTTTATTACCCCACATCTGCCCCAGAACAGTAATGTTCAGCATTTCTACAGTCTCCCTGAGATATAGACAGCTCCGTAGCTAACAACTTTTTTCTTGGGGGGCCAATTTTTTTCTCGGGGGGCCTGCCATCAGGAGAAATGTCCCCTCCCTGTCCCCCTCCTCCTCCTCTCCCCGTGCTGCTTCTGGCATGATCCTCTCCACTCCTTTGCAGAAAAGCAGCACGATGCCAGTGGGGTGGGAGGGAAGCCTGAAGCCACGAAGGTCGGCGGAGTCGGGGAGAGAGAAGCACAGCGGGAGTCACCCGAACCTGCCGATGCCATCAGAGCACCAAGCAGCCTGCAGTGGAGTTGTGAAGCTAACGGGGCTGGCGGCAATTGCAGGGCTGGCGGCTGGAGTGTGGGGGAGGGCCAGGCTGTCCTCCCAGATTGCGGGAAGGGGAGGCGGCCCTGGGCAGGAGCAGAGAGTGAGTGAGTGGCTGGCTGCATTGGCTGCCAGCTATGGTACTCGGTCTGGGCTCCTGGACACCAGTGGGGAGTCGGTGGGGCTGAGCTCTTGGTTAAGTAGGCGTTGGACTGTTCGGGCCAGAGGAGCTGATGCTTTGCAGCTGGCCAGGGAGAGCCAGGTCCCTGGAGGGGGGAGGGAGGGGGAGTTGAAGATCAGGGGAGGGGCCCATGAAAACCATGGGGGGCAGGCCCCATGGGCCCCGTGGCAGCTACAGGCCTGGATATAGATCTGATACATGTGACAGAAACCTGGATGGATGGTACTGCCACATGTATTTCGTCTGAATTTCAAAATGCATGTGAATTCCAAAATGCACAATACCGGAGGATCACCAGTCTGGGAAGGGTAGAGGTGGTGATCCTTTGGTATTATTGCTCCCACTTTGTCCAATGTTTATATTAACTCTGGTTAAAATCTGACCTCAACTCTTATTTCCCCAAACTGGCCTCTAGACTGCTTTCAATCTTACTTCATGCAGATGACGCAGTACTGTTCATCATCAAGTATCTTCTGTGTAGGCACCAGTGTTCCCTCTAAGCTGAGTTAGTGTGAGCTAGCTCACAGTTTTTTAGCCTCCAGCTCACACATTTTGTCTTCACTCAGGAAGGATGGCTCCAGAGCAAGCTAATTTATGCAGCAGACAAATCGCTTGTTCACAACTTTAATGCCAGTAGCTCACAAAGTAGAATTTTTGCTCACAAGACTCCACAGCTTAGAGGGAGCATTGGTAGGCACACATGGGGATTGCGTGTGAGCAGGTGTGCCACTGGATAGGTCTTTACAGCTAAAAGCTTCCAGGGTGTGCTGTGCACCAGAAGCTTGTTCTATCCAGGGATAACATGCTTCTGTGCAGCAGTGCCCCTTACCCTCAGTTCCTCTTTTGCTGCTTAAGGATAAGGTCATGTTTTTGGAGTCTCTAGCTACAGTCAGGAGGATTTCGTCCAGATTTGTTAAAGCTATGTTGGCTTCTGAGTCCCTTCCGGGCTCTTTTTGTATCAGGAGCTCCTTTGCATATTAGGTGACACACCCCTCATGTAGCCAATCCTCCAAGAGCTTACAGTAGCCCCTGTAAGAAGAGCTCTGTAAGCTCTTGGAGGATTGGCTACATGAGGGGTGTGTCACCTAATAGGGAAAGGAGTTCCTGCTACAAAAAGAGCCCTATGACCCAAACTGATGAACATGACCTTTGTCTTTTCTGTTTGGGTTAAGGGCATTTTGTCTCCACATGTAAGGCCTGTCAACACTTCACGCCTAAAGCTAGGGGGGATACGGCATTGAAACTTAAGGCAGCATTGTGGGAGAATGCCCTTAAAGCCTCGGAGCCCTTGTCCAAGTCAGCCCTGGAGAAAGCTCCCAATTCCACATCTTTGAAATTGATGTATTCGGCTTCACTTCCTGGATCTGTGTCTTGGCGGATCTGATCTCCCCACAGGCTCATGAGCCTCCAGCTAAGAAGGCTAAAGGCAAGACAAAGGAAAATCGTAGATTGGGTCCCCAGCAGAATACTCCCATCTGCACTCCTGAGCCAATGCCAGTCTTGCAGGAAAATCCCAGGACTCCATCTCTGGGTCCAAGATCTCCACCTGTTTCTATTTCCTGAAGGACTAGGACTCCTGGTAAATTGGGATAAATCATGATTAATTCCATCTCAGAGAGCACGGTTTATTGGACCTGCACTAGATTCCCTAGTGAGGAAAGGTTTTCTACCTCCCAAAAGGGTACAGGCTATCTTTGCCTTGATGAGAAAGTTCAAATCTCACCAGTTCCAATTAGTTTGGACAATTCTGTGCATTTTGGGATATATGGCTTCTACCACTGCAGTCCTGCCTGTGACTAGGTTACATATGCGACTCCTGCAGCTCTAGTTTCTATCTTGTTATAGAGATATAACAACGCTGAGTCAATACAATCACCAGGATAGAATATTCAGTAAACAGAGAAATAGGATTTGGGTTGTAGGACCAACTGGAAATCTAAAAAAAATTGAAGGAAAGCATAAGTGTTAACATGACACATTAAATTTAAAATTACATAATAGGATCTAACTTACAGCAAATGATACCCAGTAGTACAAAGCACAGTCCCTAATAATTTGTCCAAGTAACTTTGTGAATCCTTTTGTACAGTGCTACTCTATTATCCGCATAGAAAATCTCCAATTCAGTTTTGCATAGTTTGCAGAAAGCCAGGATAGCTAGTCCAAAATCATTTTGTTTACCAGAAGAGCTAAGCATAGATGGATGATGAGAATACTACTGAGCAGGTGATGTGTTTCAAATAGGTGTAATTTTTCATTTGACTGGTTCTTGGCACACTCAAGTTAAAAATGCAGTTGGAAATGCCCAGAGAAGTGTCTCTGCTTTGGGGGGAAAAGTTCTATATCAGAGCTTCCGGTCGTTGATGAGAGCAGATGCGAGTTACCTACAGAAGGAGCTAATAGAGTTAACAGCAAGAAGCTTCAAAGAAACCTACAAACCAAAGCTAAGTATTGTGTAAAAACTTATGGAGGGGGAACTTTACAGGATAATTAAAATAGAATAACACTCAGGCATTAAGGGAAATTTAACTATATACCTTTAAGGCTGCCATTAAACAGGAAAGTT